TGGAGTGTGGAGAGTGCATCCCACAGTTTAGCTGCTTATGAATATCCCGCCCTACATGATAATGCAGAGTGCACTCTATTATCCTTGCAAATACTACAGATTTTTATAAAAAAAAAAAAAAAAGTCAGGAAAATATGTACTGAGATATCAGCCCAAGACAATAATGGACCTAGACGGTAATAGTGCTCTGATTATCTATGACTCATCACTTCACAACAGTCTTGTGTTCAGCTCTCCTGTATCAATTTTAGGCGCATAGTTTTTTTGTAGCTGTGAGATTCACGATACGTGACAGCTTACCAGCCATTGTTGCCAAGCAACAAAAAACAAGCGATTATACGCAAACAACAGTAATAGTTTTTCTCTCTGCATTATGCAGCCACATGATGATGACCCTCTCATCCACCGGGAGAAAGTCCAACTGTGCAGCAGCCAGCCGGTGATTTGTCAGTAGTCCCACAACCGCCTGGCACGTCTCGCCATGGACAATTCCCGAGTAAGAGAGAGTCCAACATCTATCAAGGAGTTTGGTTCCAGAGTCAAAGATGTGCATAGAGGTGAGCCCAACTGCATTTTGTTGGTACCTCTGAACTTCACGCATCAAATCAGGCACTTTCCCTAAAGAGGGATATCCACAGTGACTAAATCCGCTCCGTCTCTTGCCTTTGCACAGTTGGCATTGCACTGACCTCTGTCTTTTGACTCGCAGGGTCTTTGGCTCTGGAACAGTGGACCAGATTGTTTCCCCAAACAAACTATCAAGTGGTCACTGATATTTTCTTTTCTTGAGTCTGCACACTTTTTAAGGTGGTGTTCCTTTAGTAATGCTGAAGGATTTTCTGTAGATACCAAAAGAGCCTGCTGTGATCCATGTAGTTCCAGTATGTTAGGGAGGTTTGTTTCCCTATTTAGCATTATGTGAAGCACGTTGAATGTGCAGATCAGACTTGGACAGGAATGCACTCTGTCTCTTATCCTGTTCTTCATGCTCATCAAGGTGCAGCTGGGATCTTGAGACTTATCTTTGGGGGTCATTTCTATTATAGTCGCATGATGTTGGCTTTGAGGCGTCATTAGTCTGTGATCTCTGAATCAGCCAGTTTGCACTCGAGTGTGGGAAAGTGACATCAATTTACCCAAGTCTAAGGCCCATGGGTCATAAATCTAAGCTGCAGTCTCAAAGAGTTTACCCCAGTTGCTCTCATTTTTTCTACATACTTTATCCTGTGGTTATCCTTTAAATGCTAACCCAAATAAAGATGAATAAATATAATTAAACACTGTTAGGTACCCTCCACTGAGTGTGGTTGATTGGCCAGAACCTAAGGTCCCACCCTGCTTATAAATGCTGTTTATTTGGCCTTAATAAAGGCATCAATTTCCCAAAATCATACATCAGAGCAGCTCATGTAACCAGTAAAACAATAAGTTGTGACATATTGCCAGTAAAAAGTATATTTTTAGGGTTGCATTAGGGCATTGATTTTGAGAACTGGGAATTACTGGGTGGCATCAATACTACTAATGCATAATGGGTCTGCCATAACCACTCGTCAATGTCTATTATGGACCGTTTCTTAATCAGCTATAAACATAAGGTGACATTTTAATTATCTTAAAATGTTTAAGCATCTTTAGTCATAGAGAATCTGTTATGTAAAATTATTAAAATATTGCCATTGCAGACGCTGTTGATATTCCACCTACCCTCTGTGGTCAGAAGACTAAATCCATTTTGAAACACATTTTCTTTCTGTTTAGTTGATGTTATTCATATCCATATTTGAATGAATACTCAAAACAGATGGACCATAGTCATAGTTAATTAGGAGGCCATTAATAACCCAAAGTGCAAATAGGCAGAGGGCTACCTTATAATTATATTAGAATATGAAAAACAAACAAAACCAAAACAAATGCCTGAATCCAGAAATCAAATGAAAGGGGATCCACATTTGTGTCTCATTTTCTTGTCTAGGTTATTTATTTTTTTCTTTTTAGAATGTTTGACACTGAGTGAGTTTGTGTCAGCACAGATGCGTCACCAACAGTTCTGGAACGGGGACAGGCCCCATGCCATAATTCTGCACCATTATACAGATGTGCCAATTATGGGCTGATGTGCCGTAAGTCTGACATGAAAGCCAAATATTTAATATAAAATATCCCTCGCACAGCATTGCAAATGCTGATCACTTGTGGGCAGACATGAATAAGACAAAGATACTTTTTTTTTTGGTTTTGTAAATGATAGGGTAGATAAACATTATCTGCCCGTATGCCCGCAATACATTTCTGTTTGTAATGAGACATGAATTTTGAAGGTCTTTTTGTCAATTCTGTGCATGGAGCATTCCTACCTTTTTGATTAACGTTATTTTAATGCTTTGCATTTCATCCTTGCCTAAAGCCAATGACAAGGTCACAATATACAGTTCTTTTCACAAAAATATTTCACAGTGAATACTGAGTCAATAAGAGTTCACTCTTTGCTCATTGGAGAAACTTTGCAAGATAAATGACTTTATATCCACTTTGAAGAGAGGTTACTTAAGGACATTTGAATCAAATTAACATCAACATCAATATGTATATTATTGGTGGGCCTCTTTTCACTGTCTTCTTTGAAATTACATTGTCACATAAGCACCCAAGTACACAGACAAAGGCACACATAAGCAGTGACAGGGATAATAATCAAAAAAATCTCTTTGCTCAGCAGGACATCTCTCTTCCCATCTTTCATGAACTTGCTGCTGTTTGTAGAGTCAAGTCATCCTCAGAACACACTGTGGTCCCTGTGGTCCCATTTCAAGAGTCTGCTTTTGTTTCTTTGCAAAGGAAAACATGGGGGTTGGTTACCCCTTTGTTCATTCTGACAGCAGGCACGCAGAGCTCAGTAGGGGCACGGTTACAGCATGCTGAAACCAACATTGCAGCTGAGTTGTAGAGCATTGGTCAAGTTGACATTCCCCAGAAAAAAGATCAGCTACTTGGAAATGACAGATTCCTCCTTTGTTTATAATGACTTTTTAGTGGCATGGTAGCATTAGACATATGCATAGACAGATCAAAGGATCTCTATCAAGACTTAATCCCAGTTTGAACCAAAAAGACACTTTAAATATTTGCTTAACATTTTTGTTGTCTGTTATAAGCTATTTTAACTGTATAGCTTCTTCCGGTTCTTTCAAACCAGGAACTCTCAATGAGACGAAAGAGACTGCTTTAGATTTTATAAAAAATAACCGTGCTGGTTTATTCAGAGGATCACAGGTACAAAGCAGCCCGGAAGCAGGAAGACCCCGAACCAAGCATTGCTATACAATATTAATCCTTTCTGGGCTGTCGAACCGTGACGTCACCTGATAAGCAAGCCTTGCAGCTGCTCTATCATTTAGCCCACACATGAGGAAAAGTCAAGGTGCGTGACTGTTGTTTTCGTGGTGTGTATCTAAACAATTGGACATAACCTTACACTTTAAGACAAATATTAAGACTAGCATTACAGTTGACCCTAAAAGCTCTTTTCCTGTAACCTTGGCGTGCCTGCAATTTTACTGCAGGCTAATAGTTACATCAAACTAGTCACCCTGTCTGCACTAAACATCTTCTAATACAACAGATCTCTAATCCATATCTATCTAACTAAGAAATAACCTAACACTGTTGTAGTAACAACATTAGCATACAGTAAGTCTAGGGATGGCAATGTCAGTCAATTGGTCCACTACCTTGGTCTAGAAATATTGCAATGCTATTAATTGGACTGCCATAAAATTTTGTTTCATAGCCTCCAGAGGATGACACCTATGGAGTTTAATACTAAGACTAATGATTTCCCCACTAGTTTCAGCTGTACTTTGTGTTTTGTGCTAATAGCAAATATAAATGTTATAACATCTAAATAACTATGTTAACATGTCAGTATGCCAACACCAGCATTTAGCTCAAACCATAGCTAATGTAGTCTTAGTATTGTTAGAAATTAATTGATAAATTTGTATATATTAACATTAAATGCAAGTTCAATAAAGTTTTATTATTATCGGCGCATTTGCCATTTAGCCCTCTGTGGAGCTCTGAAAGTTAACATTACAGTGCTATCCTTTATGCCTATAACTAAATAAATATATAAATAAAAGTTAACCAAAATTGGAAACATATTTATTTTACTTTATTATTTACTTCTCATTAGATCTGATTGTCTCTGAATGTGTGTGCATGTGTTTGTTTATGCGTTTCCTTTTTTGTTTTCCTACTCAACGTTGTTGCATAAGGTGGGCCTGGATGCCCTTGTCTTGGATTAGTCCTGAGAGTTAATGGATGAAGAATGCTGATTCCCTAGGCTCTTCATCAACACACCATGTCAAACATGTTCAATTAATGCCAGTGCACCAAAATAACTCAGACAGGTCCCATCAGCATGAGCCCCTGCATACATCACTTCGGTGAAACTTTTAAATTGGCTGTTTTATGAAGATACAGTCTGTAGGCACAAGATATTACAAGCATTTTTAAACTATACTGCTAGAATTTAATAGCATATGCCTTTTTGTTGTCAGTCACAAAATGGCACAAAAGTTCCCAGAGGAAACCAGTCATCTTTCTTCTAACAACTCTATTATTATTCATGCTCTTTGTTTACTTTACTTTTTATTCATAGTTTAGGCAGTTAGCTGGTTTTCATAACATTTTATGAAAAACATGAGTTGCAAAAATTACAAGTCATTAATTGCAAGTGGAAAGGTAAAAGCCACCAACACCACAATTTTGTCACATTATGTGCATCAATAGCTTCTTAATTACACTAGGAAAAGCAAGGTTATGAGAGACTGCTTTCCAGGTGGTGAGGGATTATGTTCAGCTGCTCAAGCGTTCATTCATTTTCACTTGCCATTACTTGTACCGGTACTGTGTGTCTTTATTTACACTGCAAGAACATGAAAAGGCAACTGCATTTTCTTGTTTTAACCTTTGTTTGTTTCCTTCCATTTTAGGGAAGAGGCCATGATGTCTACTTATTTTGAGACCGTAGAGGACCTACTGGCATCCTTTGGGCCTGTCCGTGACTGCTCCAAAGATAACGGTGGCTGCAAGAGGAACTTCAAGTGTGTGTCTGACCGACAGTTAGACTCATCTGGCTGTATGGTAAGTGTTTGTCAGATGCCATGTGCTGGTTTTGTTTCTAGATGATATACTGACATTAAATAGTTTCTGTTCGTGTGGTAAATGAACAGTATTCCTAATTGTTAAAAATAAATTCAATTCATCTGTGTCAGTATAAAACTAAGTATGTACATTTTGGTTTAAGATCTTTATGACCACAGAAGTATAACATTTTTCTTGCAAGTATGGGTGTTAGTATGTTTGTATTTGTGTCTGTGTAAGAGATATGCTTGTCAGTGACAGACCTGCTGATAAAAGGCCTGGTAGCTGCACTCCCATCCAGACCTGCTGTCAGCTGAACAGATGTTGAGCTGTAGCTATACCTTGCAGCAGCTCAGAGGGAGTTGACAAGCTACTTCTGTGTGACAACAGACTTGTGCCACACTAGTAAAGCTGGATTCAGTCCTTACATCAGGCTAGACATATGCTGTGGGCACATGCAAGCATTCAGGCAGGTCATGTTCCCTTTTATGTTACTCATAACTGTGAATCTTTCTTCTATAGGTTTGTGGGACATTGGAAAGTTAGGAATCAGAATTTAAAATAATCCTGACACAGTAGACAACTCACTCTAAAACAACAAATAAAATATAAAGTAGGGGTGACTGTGGTTCAGTGGGTAGAGCGGTCATCTCCTAACCAGAGGGTTGGAGGTTCAAGTCACGGTGCCTGCAGTCCACACATTGAAGTGTCCTTGGGCAAGACACTGAATCCCCAAGTTGACCCCGATGGTTAGAGCCATTGGTTTGAGTTGGCGCCGCAGATGGCTGCCTCAGTTCTGTACCAGAAACGAATTCCTTGTGTGTAACATACTTGGTCAAATAAAGGTGATTATTCTTATTATAAAGTACAGTATGCTCCAACATACAGTGAATTCAGTTATTCCGTACAGTATGTTCCAACATACAGTGAATTCAGTTATTCCAGTAGTTAGCAGTACTTATACTGCTCAGTAGTTAATTACAGAGATTTTTACAAGACACATTAAGTGGTGAAAAGATACATGGTACGAACATATTTTAACATTCATTTATGTAATCATCTCTGTTTACTGATACTGTCCAAAGATAATGACACTTATTAAACTCTCATGCCATCTAATTTGGATTTTTGATATTTCCTATCAATCCATAATGTATTATGTGCTGTTTACAGCCATTACTAGTATGCTTTGGTGTTCTGCTCTTTAACCAATGTATGGACACTGTGGGGCCTAGAAGCAGCTAAGTCTCACCCCTGTTTTTGTTTCTGTCCTTGTGAAACTACAAGCTTACCCATTTGGAATTCAGGGAAAACACAGAAATTGCCTCTTGAAAAATATTAACAGCAAAATGAGTATGAGTCCATTGTGTGTTTGCTGTAAACAAGCTGCTACTATCAATATAATATGGATCAATATAAATTGTTCCTGTGACAACAAGTAATGCTACTAATGGCAGTAGTAATATGCTTTTCCCCTCTTGGATACTACAGTACTATTACTGTATTGTATTCTTCATAGTAATAATGGAGCTGTTTGCCTGTGATTGATCAACCTTAGTTTGATTTAACATTGTACTGCAGTGCAATAAAGGGTTGACTTCTGGCATATTTACAAGAGAAGGGTGACTGGAAACTTCTGATGCCAGGCTTTTGACAGCATGGGGCGGTCCTGGGTTGTAAAGTAATTAAAACGATGAGCCAACTCAATTGCTGGAGGATGGCTTGGTGAGTCATTAACAGCTTGGACGGAGCTATAAATCGACTGGCCTTTGCATTGTTTGTATTGACCAAAAACAAACACTGACATGGCAGTTTTTATTTATTTTTTACTCTGATTCTCACTGGAACTCGTCCTACATTTAGTGAAACTGTTATCTCACATTTGTCTGTAATTTTATTTGGCACAAATGAAGAATAACACATCTTGTGACACTACTGTTAAACAGTAATGTAAGCCACAGCTGACAGACTTATGCGGGGCCCTTGTAGAATAAGCAAAATACATACATACAAATGCATACATACATTACATAGTGTTTAATGTTTTCAACAAGACATTTCTAATCACTTTTCCCTGTACAGATCCAGTATGTTCTTTAGAAAGTCATTATCCACAATTTACTTCCCACTGTGTTGCCATGGTGACTTTTCTTTTATTATAAATAAACCTGAGTCATATTCCTCATCATTTATCAGAACCAAGACAGTTTCCACCCCTGAAGCTTGTGGCTGTTTGTTGTATGAACATTTTTTTTCTCTACATTTTGCTGTAGCTGCTTTTTTCCCTAAATATGTTGATAGTATAATCTGTTACCGATAATGTGATAAAAATTTTATATCTTTTCACACTTGTTTGGTGTTCTGGTGTTCTTCCACCTGAGTGCCTGCAATGTGGATAATGTATTTAAAACATGCATGAACAGTTGATGGTTCAGTGTGTCACTCGTTCCTGAGTTGCACTATTAGATTTATGGCTGTTCTGTAACATTTTAATGGCTGCAAAGCTCGAGTCCTCCCAGTAAAGAAGTATTTTGATAAGTGCCATTATTTCAATTTGTCACCCATTTCAGGAAAGTATATACTGTTATATATTCATAGATTTAATCATAAATGATGCAGTATTTTAGTTATGGTTATTCATTATGTGCTCCCACCTACTTTTTGTTTTATCTTACAAATGCACCTAATCTAACCCATTTCAGTGTGTTTGCATTTATTAGCTAAAAAACATTCACATGTATTACTGAAACACAAATTAAGTCATGTTCTGTATATAGTTTGAATAGTGTGAGATGTGTTCATATATTTTAAATAATTTACAGTGACATCTATAACAGAAGTCCCAGTGATGTTTTATGCATTTGCACAGTCGAATTTGCATCCTATACAGGACTGGGGATGGGACTGTATAGGCAGTTCCTCCCACTTAACCTACAGTGTGCACCAGATGAATGCTTATTAGGCCCAGAGGTGGAAAGTACTGGACAATGGAGAGGGTGCATATTAATTATGAATGAGTGCATGCTAATAAGCCTTTGGATTGTTTGTCAAATTCGGTCCCACATCAACCCCTGATATATCATGGCATATTTTATTAATAGATACCACAGACACAGACATTACACTGTTTTATTTCTCTACAAAACCATATCAAAGAATTGTCAGGAATGAGCACTTATAATAAAGAAAAGAAAAGCGACCTCACTTGGAGATTTTAGCTTAAATTCACACACTTTCATAAAATATAAGTGTTGTATGAAATTTTAATCTAAAATGATTCGGAACAGGCTCATGCCTCTCTGAGTGGCTGATTAATACACAGACAAAAAGACTGACAGAGCTAGTCTTCAAAGATTAACTCAGACAATCACAGACACTGTGGTATTGCTGTCTTGTCTATCTCTTTTAGGTTGGTGTTATTTTAACCATCCTTGTCAGAGTGGGTGATAACACAGAACAGTGACATGCCACACGGAGGTCTTAAAATCCATTATCAGAGTCAGTCCCTCAAGGCTGTCTGCTGCTCTTAAGACAGTTGAAATGCATTTGCAATGAGTTAAATTCTAGTGAGTACTAGTGCTGAAGTTTAGACACACCGATTGCTCCAGTTGTGCCTGTATTCCTGTTCTGCAGCTTCAGATCCAGTGAGGAATAGGACAGGTGGTTTATTTGTGCTCACTAAGGTCAGCTTAGAACAACAGCTGTTCTTTGCGCAAGTTAGCGATTTTAGAGGGGTGATGTTTTTGTGCTAGCACCTTTTACCCCTTTATTTGCAAAGCCTACATAGCTAATGTACAATATAACTCTGGTCTGTGGAATAGGAATCCTCAGACATTCTGGTGACATGATTTGCATCTTAAATAGCCTAAAAGGAGACTCAAGGAGACAAAACTTCATATCACTCAGGATTACATTATCCCACTACAGAAAATTTTTAATTCTCAGTAATTCATAAATGTCTCAGCTTAAAAGTAGGGTTTATGTTGTATTAACTTTTCATGTGGAAACATTTTTCTTTCTTTTTGATTCTGACTTCCTAATGGACGGATACAGAAGCTGAGCAGATGGTAGGATATTAGTGCCATATCTTTCATCAGTTTATATCCCTTTTGGGACATTTACGTAAAGTTTTTTGGAGGCAGTGTTGGCAAAGATGTATTTGTCAAATTCAAGCCCTGTCCAAAACTTTAATTTTGGCCCGTCAAACTCCTATAGTTTAGAGAAGACAGATATTGTTGTTTCCAATCTCATTTTAAGGCACTCCCAGAATACAGAGTTTATTAAAATGTGTGGCACACTCCAAAAGTCAGGAATTAAATGATGAGTTGTCAGTGTGGAGCCAGATTACCGCTTGGTTGCCTCTGGTTTGCATAAAGAGTCCTGCTGCTCTGCTGCACAGCACAGCTTAGTTTGTCATTACTTTGGAATTTCAGTGCTTTATTCTTTAAAGCAAATACATTGTAATAATTCTTTCCTCCTTTCACTTCAACACTATTGGTTAAACACCAGATCGAGTGTTATTTAGCATTCCATCCACTGGTGGAGCCAGTGGTGGGAATTAAGCTCTGTGCACAAAGGAAAACAGTTCAGATGAGCCTTAAGAGGGAAATATTTGCAAATATTTGTCCATCCAACCATTGGCTATAACTTTTATCCTGTAGAGGGTCAATGGGGAGCTGGAAGCAGTCCCATCTGAGACTGTGTGAGATGTGCTGTACACGTGGACAGGACACTCTATCATAGGGCTGACACCATTCACACTCACATCCATACCTAGCAAATATTACAGTGAAATTAAAACATTCCACATATAGCTTTAGTATATTATATAATCTAATTCTTGTGTACACAGCTGTGTATATTATCCAAGGCATTTGAGTGGTAAAAATAATATGAGCAACATCAGTGAACAACTGAAGCAGTGCTTTTGTTTTATGCCATAATTGTATCATCTACAAATTTAAGTAGGACTCTCACCCATGATGGGCCCAATATCTTCT